TGCTTCCTACAATGCCACATTAGCCAGGAAACTGAATCAGAAGCCAGAGCTGATATTCTAACCCAGGGACTATGATACAGAATTGGGAGGTCCCCAGGAAACAACTTAACTGCCATGTCATTCGCCCCAGCCCGTACAAGTTTCATTTTTCGATCCCAATAGAGAAAGAAACATGAACAGCAGAGGCCATCGGAAGCAGAGGAGCCAGCTCAGTAAAATATTCTTGCGGAGGATACAATGGAGCGTGCAATAGGCCCAAGAACTTAGGCCATCTTCTATTGCTTTCCTAGTCCATAGCAGAGAGCTGGATTGGAAGTGGAGTGGCCAGGACTCGAACCGGCATCCACATGGGATGCCAGCACTGCAGGCGGCAGCTTTACCTGCTATGCCACAGCGCTGGCCCCTGACCTTTCTTTTGTGATTTGTGCTTCTGGTGTTTAGTTTAGGAAATCTCCTTGTATTACAAGCTCCAGAAGAGAGTCACCAGTTTTTCTCCTGAAGTTTTATACTTTACATTTCATATTTAGGTATATGATTCATCTCGTATACCTAATTTTGGTATAGTGTGAGAGATAGGGTTCAATGATTTTTTTTTCATATGGAGAGCCAGTGCTTTTTTTTTTTTTTTAAGATTTATTTTATTTATTTGAAAGACAGAGAGGTAGAGACAGAAAAAGAGTTTTTCCATCTGACCTTGAGCCAGTGTTTCATGTTAAAAACACAGAAAACTTGGAAGGAAACTTCCTTAATCTAACAGTAGGTATTTGCCCAAAAAAATCATAGCTAACAACTTTCTTATGATGAAATTTGAATGCTTTCCCCTGAGTTTAGGAATAATATGAGGGTGTCCACTGTCACCATTTCTTTTTTCTTTTTTTTTTTTTTTTTTTTTTTTTTGACAGGCAGAGTGGATAGTGAGAGAGAGAGAGAGAGAGAGAGAGAGAGAAAGGTCTTCCTTTTTGGCCATTGGTTCACCCTCCAATGGCCGCCACGGCTGGTGCGCTGCGGCCGGCGCACTGCGCTGATCTGAAGCCAGGAGCCAGGTGCTTCTCTTGGTCTCCCATGGGGTGCAGGGCCCAAGCACTTGGGCCATCCTCCACTGCACTCCCAGGCCACAGCAGAGAGCTGGCCTGGAAGAGGGACAACCGGGACAGAATCCGGCACCCCAGCTGGGACTAGAACCCAGTGTGCCGGCGCCGCTAGGTGGAAGATTAGCCTATTAAGCCGTGGCGCTGGCCTCTGTCACCATTTCTAATCTACATAATGATGGAGATTCCGGATGGTGTGATAAAAGCAATAAACAAAAATAAAAGTTTGGAGCAAAAGGAGTAAATCTGATTTCATTTGCAGATAACTTGATTATATATGCCATCTGAATCATTAAAATTGAATAACTTTAGCAGGATTATTGGATACAATATATAAAATTTAAAAATGGTATTTCTGGGGTAAGCGCTGTGGTGCAGCAGGTTAAAGCCCTGGCCTGAAGCGCCGGCATCCCATATAGCTGTCAGTTCTAGTCCCAGCTGCTCCTCTTCTGATCCAGCTCTCTGCTATGGCCTGGGATAGCAGTAGAAGGTGGTCCATGTCCTTGGGTCCCTGCACCCACGTAGGAGACCTTAAGAAGCTCGTGGTTCCTGGCTTCGGATCAGCACAGCTCCGGCCATTGCAGCCATCAGGGGAGTGAACCAGCGGATGGAACACCTCTTTCTCTGTCCCTGTCTCTCTCTATAACTCTGTCTTTCAAATCAATAAAATAAATCTTTAAAAAAAATGGTATTTCTATATTTAAGTAATAATTAAAAAGCATTGCATACGTAGATATCTTTTTAAAAAAGATTATTTATTTATTTGAAAGGCAGAGTTAGAGAGAAGAAGAGAGAGAGAGAGAAAGAGAGAAATTGATATCAATCTTCGATCTGCTGGTTTACTCCTTAAATGTCTGCAATGTTTGGGGATGGGTCATGCCAAAGCCAAGAATCTGGAATTCTGTCCCGGTCTGCTACGTGGATGCAGGGCTCCAAGTGCTTGGACCATTTTCTGCTACTTTCCAGGCTCATTAGCAGGGAGTTGGATTGGAAGTGGAGCAGCCATGCCCATATGTGATGCCAGCATTGCAGACGGTAGCTTAACCTGCCGTGCCACAATGTCAGCCATAAACCTAGAGATAAATCTAATTCAATCAGTTCAAGACTCCTACACTGAAAATTATAAAACATTGATGAGTCAATTAAAGCTAATGAAGGGATATGCTATTTTCATTGATTGAAACATTTAACATTGTTATAACATTTTTTGTTTTCTTCTATTCCCAATACCTAGCATGGTGTCTTGCAAACAGGAAGGACTACATAAGACTTTAAAATTTTTTTTTAATTTCAAAATGATTATAGATTCATAGGAATTTGCAAAAATAGTATAGGAAGGAGGCTGGTGTTGTAGTTCAGTGGGTTAAGCTGCTGCTTGGGGTGCCTGCATCCCATATTAGAGTACTGGTTTGAGTCCTGACTACTCTGCTTCTGATCCAGCTCCCTGCTAATGCATCCTGAGAGGCAGCAGTTCGATGATGATTCAAGTGCTTAGGCCCTTGCTACCCATGTGGGAGACTTAAATGGAGTTCTTGGCTCCTGGCTTCAGCCTAGTCTGGCCCTGGCTATTGTGGGCATTTGGGGAGTGAACTAACAGGTGGAAGATGTTTCTCATTTCTTTCTCTGTTTTTCTGTTGCTTTGCCTTCAAGTATATGAAATACAAAAATTAAATAAACAATAGTGCAGAGATCATATGTCCCTTCATCAAGTTTTCCCCATGATAATGCCTTACATAACTGTAGTGCAACAACAAAACTGAGAAATTGACATTGCCACAATCCACAGACCTTACTCATTTCACCAGTCTTCCATGCACGTGTGTGTGTGATATTATGTGTGATTTTATCACATGTGTACCCTTGTGTAGCTACCACCACAGTCATACGGAACTGTTCGTCACCACAAAGATCCTCCTTTTGATCTCTTTGTGGTCCAGTCTGTTTCCCTTCTGTCTAATCCCTGGCAATCACTAATCTGTTCTCCATCTCTTTGATTTTGTCAATGTGAATTAAATGGATGAAAAGGTAATTATATCATTTGTGCTAAAGTTTAAAGAGATCAAAGAGAGAACCTTGTTGACAAAACCTGAAGCATAGTTATATCCAGATGCTTATTTGTAGTTATTACTTACCGTCCAAAACCTTGATTTTTAAAATTATATTGCCCTAATTCAAGGGTGCCGCCATTTGATTATCTGAGCTAGACTGATGATGAACTGTGATACCAATATATTGATGTGGGCCAATAAGTTGGCTGTTTAGTGCAGTATCTTCCTCCAAAGAAACTATCCTTAAGGCTGTCAAATGAACATAATGTCAGAACAAAGGGAGTAACTAACTGTTTCTAGGACAGAGATGTAGCAACCAAGTTCATGGTAGTAGACCACTGATTGCCCTCTACCTGGATTCCAGTGCACAGCACATTATTCCTTTCTCCCTCCCTTCTTTCCTTTCTTTCATTCTTTTAAAAATCTATTTATTTGAGAGGCAGAGTTACAGAGAGAGAGGGAAAGACAAAGAGGTCTTCCATACGCTGAATCACACCCCTAAATGGCTGCAATGGCCAGAACTGGGCCGATCTAAACCCAAGAGCCAGCAGCTTTCTCAGGGTCTTCCATCTTCTACGGCTTTCCCAGGCCATTAGCAGGGAGCTAGATCCGAAGTAGGGCAGCCAGGAATTGAACCAGCACCCATATGGATGGTGACACCATAGGCAGAGGCATAACCTACTACACTACTACACTACACTGGCCCCAGCACATCTTTTTTTTTTTTTTTAAGATTTGTTCATTTATTTGAAAGGCAGAGCCACAGAGAAGTGGAGGCAGAGAGAGATGTCTTCATCCACCACTTCACTTCCCAGATGGCCGCAACGGCTGGAGCTTCTGAGCCTATCCAAAGCCAAGAGCCAGGAGCTTCCTCCAGGTCTCCCACATGGGTGCAGGGGCTCAAGGACTTGGGCCATCTTCCACTGCTTTCCCAGGCCATAACAAAGAGCTGGATCGGAAGTGGAGCAGCTGGGACACGAATGGGATGCTGGCACTGCAGACAGCGGCCCCACCCGCTACACCACAGCACCTGCCCGGCATCATTCTTTAAATGAGTTTAAAATAATTGAGCAAGCTATAGTTACTGAGTGTCTTTCAAGTTTCTCAGATGTGCTACCCTATACCATAGTTTCTCATGGATTTGTCATACTCAGAATGGATTTTTCTTTGGCATCAAATGCTGGGTTAACCTATTGTAGTCATCAGTATAAACCAACTAAATTAAGGGCTCTAATAAGATTTCACAACTTCATGAGACAGACCCTTTAGCTCAGCTTGCAGCTGGGTCTGGAGCTGAAATTAGTACTAAGAAGCCGTGTTCGGGAGAAGTGAGTATCTTAATTATGAGCATTCTTTTTTATCTTTATCCTTAGGCAGGTTTCGGGCAGACAACTTGAACAAGCTGAAGAATCTGTGCAGCAAGACAATTGGAGAAAAGATGAAGGTAAGAGAACTGAGTAACAAACACCATTGAGACCTTGCACAGGAGTAATTTCATCTTGTTCTTAGCTATTATTCACACAAATTCTAACTGTAACTCAGTGTCTTATGCTATGAAATACTGAATTCTTTACTGAGGAAAAAAATTTTTTTGAAGATTTATTTATTTGAAAGAGTCACACAGAGAAAGAGAGGCAGAGAGAGAGAAAGAGTGGTCTTCCATCTGCTGGGGCAATCAGAAGCCAGGAGCCAGGAGCTTCTTCCACGTGGTGCAGGGGCCTCTTGGGCCATCCTCTACCACTTTCCCAGGCCATAGCAGAGAGCCAGATTGGAAGTGGAACAGCTGAGACTCAGACTGGTGCCCACATGGGATGTTGGCATTACAGGCAGTGGCTGTACCCGCTAAGCCACAGCGCAAGCCCCAGCACTGTGGTGCAGCAGGTAAAGCTATCACCTACAGTGCCAGCATCCCATGTGGGCATAGGTTCAAATCCCAGCTGCTCCATTTCTGGTCCAGTTCCCTGCTAACATACCTGGGAAAGCAGCAGAAGATAACCAAAGTCCTTGGGCCCCCGCACCCACGTGGGAGAGTAGGAAGAAGCCTCTGGCTCCTGGCTTCGGATTGGCATAGCTCCGGCCATTTTGGCCATCTGGGGAGTGAACTGGCAGATGGAAGACCTCTCTTTTTCTCTGCCTCTGCCTCTCTGGAACTCTGCCTCTCAAATAAATAAATAAATCTTAAAAAAAATAAATAAATAAAAAGGAAAGAGGTAGAGAAATGGGAAATACTTGTTGACCTTATAGTGAATTGACTTCTGCATTCAAGTCAGATTCTTGTCACACAAGATATGTATTCTCTTACAAGAATACCAGTTCTGGCCGGTGCCGCGGCTCAATAGGCTAATCCTCTGCCTGTGGCGCCGGCACCCTGGTTCTAGTCCTGGTCAGGACGCCGGATTCTGTCCCTGTTGCTCCTCTTCCAGTCCAGCTCTCTGCTGTGGCCCAGGAAGGCAGTCTCCACATGGGAGACCAGGAGAAGCACCTGGCTCCTGGCTTCGGATCAGCGCGGTGCGCTGGCCGCGGTGCGCCAGCTGTGGCAGCCATTGGGGGGTGAACCAACGGCAAAGGAAGACCTTTCTCTCTGTGTCTCTCTCTCACTGTCCACTCTGCCTGTCAGGGAAAAAAAAAAAAAAAAAGAATACTAGTTCTACCAGTCGTGTTTCCCAGTTAATTATTGAGCTCAATGTATGGTGCCAGAAAAGTCATGTTATGGTGGGCTTCAGTCTTCTTGCCAGTTCTGTCATGATAATGAACAGGGTACAGACATGGCATCTAAACCTTGCCCTGTCTTTCTGTTAGCTGGGGGGCTTTTAGGCATGTTGACTCCTGAGCCTCCGTTTTCTCATCTGTAAGGTGTCAGTACTAACCCTCATGGAACAGAATTGTTAGAAGCAAGTCTTTTTTTTTTTTTTTTCTGACAGGCAGAGTGGACAGTGAGAGAGAGAGACAGAGAGAAAGGGCTTCCTTTGCCGTTGGTTCACCCTCCAATGGCTGCCGCGGACAGCGCGCTGTGGCCGGCGCACTGCGCTGATCGGAAGGCAGGAGCCAGGTACTTCTCCTGGTCTCCCATGGGGTGCAGGGCCCAAGCACTTGGGCCATCCTCCACTGCACTCCCTGGCCACAGCAGAGAGCTGGCCTGGAAGAGGGGCAACCGGGACAGAATCCGGCACCCGGACCGGGACTAGAACCTGGTGTGCCGGCGCTGCAAGGCGGAGGATTAGTCTAGTGAGCCGCGGCGCCGGCCAGAAGCAAGTCTTTTTAAGCAGAGTATTTGGCACAATGTCTCTTCTGTCGTAGTTGTTCAGTGGTTGGGAGTTACAGGGATGGCAAGTAGTTCCTGGCCTTTATTCAGAAAATCTTCCTGCACTCGCAGAATATTACATTTGAACTCAGCTTTTGCTTTGGTGTCCAGAATCATTCATTTTTTAAAAAGATTTATTTATTTGTTTGAAAGACAGAGACATGGAGAGAGAGATCTTCCATTCACTGGTTTGCTCCCCAGGTGGCCACAACAGCCAGGGCTGGGTGAGGCTGAAGCCAGGAGCCAGGGACTTCTTCCAGGTCTTCCATGTGAGTGCAGGGGCCCAAGGACTTGGGCCATCTTTGTTGCTTTCCCAGGCATGTTAGTAGGGAGCTAGACCAGAAGTGGAGCAGCTGGGGCTCAAAACTGGCACCATATGGGATGCTGGCACTGTAGGAAGTGGCTTAACTTTCTGTTCCTTAGCGTTGGCCCCCATTCATGTTTTTAACCTTTCTTTAAAAGTACGCTTTTAGCTCCTTAATCATTTTCTTAAAAAACATTAAATATACTCTATAATCTAGAAAGTAAGCTAAAAAATAAAGGGAAATTTTAGAACCCAGTAACCAAAAGGTTATGAATACACATTACACTAAACTTTATGATAGTCCGCATCCTCCTCTTTGACAGTATCTGTCACACTTTCAGCTGAGGAAACCAGGATACTCACACAGTTTTCTTCCGGTGGGACTCATGATGCTTAATCATTTGCATGTCAGAGGCCCCAGAATTATGTTAATTCTTATATATAGCTCTGTCCAAGTATTCTTTGGACCACATTTACAGAGTGTTCCAGCTATGCAGCTGTAGCAAGAACATGGGAGTGAGTGATCATTTGCAATAACATTCTTAGATCCAAGTTTACCTGTAGCTCTGCGGGGAGTGTCCACACTTGCTGTCCATTGGAATGGAAGTAGCAGTGCTTTAATTTGTACAGTACTTGGAGTATTCAGATACTTTCACAGACATAGTAGTTTGGTTTTGATCTTTGCTGCACACCTGGAGTGTAGATAGTGCTGCATAAAAGAAGGGTTGGGGAATAGGCTTAGGAAATTCAGGAAATTCCAGTGCCTGGAATCATACCCTGTGGTAGTTGCAGAGCAAGAAATCAAACTCGGAACTTGAGTTTGCTGCCTTGAGTAGCAGTCAAGGGGACTTCGTAACTGTCCTGCAACCCTAGGCTCCTCCTGCATAGAATACCATAACAAGAATCTTGACATTTAGGTCATTTTTTTCTCCTTCAATGATATATTCTTGTTCTTATCAAGACTCATTCTAGTATTTTCAGAGTTTTGTACCTTTTTCAAGCAATTTTGCTCTGAGCCACATAGGGTATAACGGTTACAATCCCAGCTTCTCACTTTGGTGTATGAGAATCTGTATTGAACTTAAAGGATTTCCATGCTTTACCTTTATTTATTTATTTATTTATTTTATTATTATTATTATTATTATTTTTTTTGACAGGCAGAGTGGACAGTGAGAGAGAGAGACAGAGAGAAAGGTCTTCCTTTGCCATTGGTTCACCCTCCAATGGCCGCCGCGGCCGGCGCGCTGCGGCCGGCGCACCGCGCTGATCGATGGCAGGAGCCAGGAGCCAGGTGCTTTTCCTGGTCTCCCATGGGGTGCAGGGCCCAAGCACCTGGGCCATCCTCCACTGCACTCCCTGGCCACAGCAGAGAGCTGGCCTGGAAGAGGGGCAACCGGGACAGAATCCGGCGCCCCGACCAGGACTAGAACCCGGTGTGCCGGCGCCGCTAGGCGGAGGATTAGCCTAGTGAGCTGCGGCGCCGGCCTCCTTTATTTATTTTGTGCTTTACCTTTAGAAGAAAAAAATTTTTTCAAGATTTATTTATTTATTTGAAAGAGTTATACAGAGAGAGGAGAGGCAGAGAGAGAGAGAGAGGTCTTCCATCCGCTGGTTCACTCCCCAGATGGCCACAATGGCTCAAGCTGCACCGATCCAAAGCCAGGAGCCAGGCGGGTGCAGGGGCCCAAGGACTTGGGCCATCTTTCACTGCTTTTCCAGGTCATAGCAGAGAGCTGGATCAAAAGTGGAGCAGTGGGAACTCGAACCAGCTCCCATATGGGATGCCGGCGCTTCAGGCCAGGGCGTTAACCCGCTGCGCCACAGCGTGGGGCCCCTAGAAGAAATTTTAACAACTCAAGTTTGTATGAGTTTTGCCATGGTCTGAGATAGCTTGTTATAATGGCTTTTGGCTACTTTTTTTTTTTTTTTTGGACAGCAGAGTGGACAGTGAGAGAGAGAGACAGAGAGAAAGGTCTTCCTTTTGCCATTGGTTCACCCCCCAATGGCCGCTGCGGCCGGCATGCTGCGGCCGGTGCACTGCGCTGATCCGTAGCCAGGAGCCAAGTGTTGCCTGGTCTCCCTTGCGGGTGCAGGGCCCAAGGACTTGGGCCATCCTCCACTGCACTCCCGGGCCATAGCAGAGAGCTGGACTGGAAGAGGAGCAACCGGGACAGAATCCGGCGCCCTGACCAGGACTAGAACCCGGGGTGCCGGTGCCGCAGGCAGAGGATTATTGGCTACTTTTCTGTAACTTTTTTTTTTATAGTTTATTCATTTTGTTAATTTGAGAGGCAGAGAGAGAATGACAGAGAGAAACAGAGCTCCCATCTGCTGGTTCACTCACCAAATGCTGTGAGCTGGGAATTCATCCAGGTCTCCCACGTGAGTGGCTGGCATCCTCTAACTACATGAGCCATCACCTGCTCCCTCCCAGGGTGCCCATTAGCAGGAAGCTGGGAAAAAGAGCAGAGCCAAGAATCCACCTAGGCTGTCTGATGTGGGATGTGAGTATCCCAACTGGCAGCTTAACTGCTAGGCCAAATGCGTGTTCCTTTGCCTCTTCTTAGTTTAAGAAGAATTTAAGTCTTAAAATTGCCTGGCTCTGTGCAGGGATTAAAAATGGTGACTTGGGGCTGTTGTTGTAGTGCAGCAGATTAAGCCACTGCCTGTAACAACTGGCATCCATATGAGTGCCAATCCAAGCCCTGGCTGCTCCACATCTGACCCAGTTCCCCTCTAAGGCTTTTGGGAAAGCAGCAAAAGATGGCTCATGTGCTTGGTCCTATGCCACCCACATGGGAGACCTGGATGGAGTTCCAGGCTCCTGGCTTCAGCCTGGCCCAGCCTCACCCCTGCTGTTGCCACCATTTAGGGAGTGAATGAATCAGCAAATGGGAGATCTCTCTCTCTCTCTCTCTCTCTCTCTCTCTCTCTCTCTCTCTCCTTCCCTCCCTCCCTCCCTCTCCCTCTCCTCCTTCCCCCTCTCCCTCTCCTTCTCCCTCTCCCTCTTTCCCTCTGCCTTTCAAATAAATAAGTAAATATTTTAAAGAAAGAAAAAGAAATTGTGATTTGGCAGAATACTGTAAAGAAGGGCAAAGAGAGAAACTGGAGGGAAGAAGTTCTAACCCTGGCAACACTCCTTCAGTTTTTTTTTTTTTTTTTTTTTTTTTTTGTTGGATTGTTTCCGACACGCAGAGTTGACAGCGACAGAGAGAGACAGAGAGAAAGGTCTTCCTTTGGCCGTTGGGGTCACCCTCCAATGGCCGCCGCGGCCGGCGCGCTGCAGCCGGCGCACCGCGCTGATCCGATGGCAGGAGCCAGGAGCCAGGTGCTTTTCCTGGTCTCCCATGGGGTGCAGAGCCCAAGCACCTGGGCCATCCTCCACTGCACTCCCTGGCCACAGCAGAGGGCTGGCCTGGAAGAGGGGCAACCGGGACAGAATCCGGCGCCCCGACCGGGACTAGAACCCGGTGTGCCGGCGCCGCTAGGCGGAGGATTAGCCTAGTGAGCCGCGGCGCCGGCCACTCCTTCAGTTTTTTAAGTTGCGCTGATTGCATGAAACTTAGTTCCTGATTCTGTGACCTGGCTCTGTGATAGCCCAGCTGTTTTCTTCCCCTTAGCCTCAGGACTGGGACTGTTCCTAGCGGGCAGACAAGGATTCACTACCTGGAGTCTGCCCCCAGGGCCTGCTTGTGCACACCATGCTGCTTCTGTGGCGGGTTGTAGCACAGAAGCTGTTGTAATGCATCTCTTGACTCCCAGGATGCCTCTGTGTCCAGGGAAACATGTCCTTCTTCTCATGTTCTCTATGATGTTAATTCTGTGGCCCCAGAAGGTTGATTGATTTGTCTAGGATCAAAAACTAGAAAGTGGCAGAATAGGGACTTGAATCTGGCTTCTGGTTTCCAGTTTGCTGATTTTCTCCTTTGTGTTGCATGTTTAAGAGAAAGTTAATGTTGAAAGTTTATTCTTAGTTGCATGGTGTATTAATTTGGTGTGTGCTTCATAAAACAAGTTTTTTTCTGTAATCATGTTGGATTTCTTCCTTCCTGCAGAAAAAGGAGCCAGTGGGTGACGATGAATCCATTCCGGAGAATGTATTAAATTTTGACGATGTCACTGCAGACACTTTAACTGTAAGTTATCGATCTGCTCCTCTGAGTTTTTTTCTTTTCTTTTTTTTTTTTTTTTTTAAGATTTATTTTATTTATTTGAAAGGTGAATTACAGAGAGAGACAAAGAGATCTTCCATCCGCTGGGTCACTTCCCAAATGGAGCAACAGCCAGGGCTGAGCCAGGCCAAAGCCAGGAACCTGGGATTCATTTGGGGTTTCCCATGTGAGTGTCAGGGGCCCAAGTACTTGGGCCATCTTCCGCTGCTTTCCCTGGTGCATTAGCAGGGAAGTGAATCAGAAGCAGAGCCTAAACTAGGACTCAAATTGCTGCTCTGAGAGGGAATGCTGGTGTTGCAGGCGGTGGCTTAACCCTCTGTGCCCCAAGGCCGGCCCTTGTTGCTTTGTCTTAATTCCTGGCCAGCAAGCACTCACACATGTCTCTACCCAGCATGATGGCAACTTTGAATTTCTGCCACTGGGAAATGTTCCCATCAGCTCTCATGATATGCTGTCTTTGATGTCTATTAGGCAGCAGAGAAGGAGAAGGTCAAAGGTAGAAAGAAAAAAAAGAACTGAACTATATTTGATTGTAACTCCATTTTCTATTCTTTATTTCCCAAAGTTATGGAATTTTTCTATATACTGTAAATCAGTACACCTTCATTGTAATGGGCCTGAAGCAGTAATTCCTAAATTTTATAGTCACTGAAGCCTTTCTTGAACCCTTAGCACATAGCAAAAATTTAAACCAAAAAAGTGCAATTGCTGTGCTTGAGGGACTGGGTTGGGCCTGTTCCTGTCAATCCTACCTATTAGAGCTCTCCCTAAGGAGATCAGAGCACAGTTTGAAATATCTGCAATAAGGAATACAAAATAAGCTTAAGACAAAGTCTCTTGTTCCTAATAAAGTTATACTCTTCCTAGAGAACAGTGAAATGTAATACAATATGGAACACGAAATTGGTTCAGTCAGGAAAATCAAAAAGTACAAATTAAGGGAAAGTTCTCTTAAGAGAGCTACAGTTTTGAGACTTCTGGTAAGTGTAGGAACAATAAGAGTAGCCAAAATGTATCCTTATCTGTCTTAAGATCCCCCGAAGAAGATGGGTTTGTAGGGCAGGACTATAAACAGTCTTGTAAAATCTCTACATCTACAGGTTCCTCTTCAGTGGAATCAGCCACTATTTATATGGCATTTACATTGTGTTAGGTATTATAAGTACTCTAGAGTTGATTTAAATATCCTGGGGGCAGGGCAGCATTGTGGCACAGTGGGTTAAGCTGCCCCTTGTGGCTCCCGAATCCATTATTGGAGTGCTGGTTCAAGTTCTGGTTTTTCTGCTTCTGATCCAGTGTCCTGCTAACAGATCTGGGAAGACAGAGGAAGATGGCCCAAGTATTTGGACCCCTGCCACCCATCTGGGAGTCCCAGAAGGAGTTCCTGGCCCCTGGTTTCAGCCTGGCTCAGACCTGGCTGTTGAAGCTATTTGGGGAGTGAACAAGTGATTGGAAGCTATTCTCTCTCTCTCTGCCAGGCTACCTTTCAAATACATACATACATTCATCCATAAATCTTTAATAAAGTAAGCACGAGGGGCAGGTGTTGTAGTATGACAGGTTAAGCCATTACTTGGGATACTGCATCCTGTATCCAGGTGCCTGAGGTCAAGTCCCATTTCTACTTGCCATACAGCTTCCTGCTAGCATGCTTGGAAGGCAGCAGAGATGGCCGAAGTACTGAGGTTCCTGCCACCCATGTGGGAAACCAGGATGGAGTTCCTGGTTCCTGGCTTCAGCCTTATCCATCCTGGCTGTTGCAGGCATTTGAGGAATGAACCAGCAAATACCAGATCTTTATTTGTCCATATCCCTCCTTTCTCTCTGCTATTCTGCTTTTCAAATAAATAAATACAGCTAAAGAAAGCATGCAGAGGGTTGTGTGTAGGTTATATGACTGTGCAAATACTTTGCCATTTGTATTAGGGACTGAGCATCCATGGATTTTGGTATTCTAGGTGTTGGAGAGTAGTCCTGTAACCAATTCCCCACTGATACTTAGGAATGACTTTTGAAAGTCTTTATTTATTTAATTCCTTTGAGAGGCAAAGAGACAGAAAGAAAAGCAGACAGAGAAAGCTCCCATCTGCTGGTTTACACCCAAATGCTAGCAGTGGCTGGAGCTGGGCTAGGAATATAAAGCTAGGAGCTGGGGATGCAATCCAGGTCACCCACATGATTGGTAGGAACCCAGTTGTTTGAGTCATCACCATGGCCTTCCAGGATCTATGTTAGCAGGAAGCTGGAGTCAGGAACCAGAGCCTGAAATCAAACCCAGGTACTCCAGTCTGGTACATGTGTGTCTTAAACAGATCATCTTATCCACTAGACTAAACACAACTCCCTCATTTCTGTTTTAATGCTACCACAAGGATTGTTCTTACAGGACAACAGGGTTAGGGCACCAGAATCTTACTCCCATACTGTCCTTGTCTCACTGGGTCTTGGGTATGGCCTGGCCTATTCACCTACAGAACCTGAAAGTCTCACAGATCAAAAAAGTCCGACTCCTCATCGACGAAGCCATCCTGAAGTGTGATGCTGAGCGCATCAAGCTGGAAGCAGAGCGTTTTGAGAGCCTCAGAGAAATCGGGAATCTTCTGCACCCGTCTGTGCCCATCAGTAATGATGAGGTAGGCGTCCCTCTTGCAGCAGGAGGCTGCCTCGTGGGGCCGAGGAGAAGTGAAACACTGGGTAGCTCTGTGTCAGAAGCAGCTTTGTGTATTCCCTCTGCCCACCAATTGCGAATTGCAGGAGTCAGATCCTTGCCTGATTGGGAAGTAACAGAGACAGCAGGTAGGAGGAGACTCCTGGCACAGAAATCTCTTCTAAATAGAGCTGCTGTCTTCTGCTGCCTGTTGCCCCTGGTAGCAGTGAGTCTTGTGGGAGGGATCTGCTAAATCAACCTCGCCCCCTCACCCACACCCTGCCTAGATTCTGCAGGTTGAAGGGAAATCTGCATGATAAAAGTTTCCTGCTGAGCCGGAGCTTCCCCAGCACAAAGCTGCTCTGAGCCCTGCCTTTGTTCCCTGACACCCCGACCACAGTCAGGCCCATCTGTGCCTCTTTCATTCATTCCCTGGTGAACGTTAAACTCATTGCAGTCTGGGCTGTGCAAGAGGCTGCCGAGCTCGGAGCCTGAGCAGACTCGTGAGGTCAGGTCCCTGAGCCCGCCCTCCTGTGGCCCTGAGACCAATGGGAGCCTGGAAAAAAAAAAATCCACATTCTCCTCTGTACCCTGGGCAATGCTGATTGTGTGGGGCCGGTTGTCCTTGTGCAGGATTTTTTGAGGAGTCATTTAAAGGGGTAAAAAAAAAAAGAAAAGAAAGAAAAAACCAAGACTACTATAGCTCAGAAAAATCATGATTTCCAATTCTGTGACTAGATTGCATGTAGGAATTTGTAAATCATTATCTCTCTGTTGAGTCACAAATTCCCTTTTCTAGTTTCTGTGCACAGTGACTAGTGTTTGCGTTGGACAGCTTCACAAAACTTGGTTGTTCTTAGAATAGCGTTTGGCAAGATGGAGGTTGTAGTGAAGTCAGGGAGGGGAGGTGTTAATTAATTTTTATTCCAGGTTCTTGCTATGCACAAAGGTAAGAATTCTTAGTGCTAATATATAGAAAGTAAATTTTATTCAGAAGGTGAGAAAGTATTCACACACACGCACAACATGAGCAGGGCTTGCCCCGCACAGAGAAATACTGTCATGAGTGGGCAGTGGGCCCAGAAGGGAAAGGGGGTGGGAGAGGAGAAGCAGAGAGAGCAACCCAGCACCTCCTTCAGTGGAAGAGAGAGCTAGCACCTCCTTTTATGATTTGGGGGCTGTCTCTACAGACGTGAAGCCACTTGGGAGTTTTGTGATACCTCCATGTGATCTTAATATACATATCTGCCTGGCATCTTCCCCTTGAGTCCCAGTGCATCCCAGCAACGGAGGATTTTGACTGACAAGTAAAATAGTATTACACATGGGGTGGGGGTGGGGTGGGGTGGAGTGTCTCTTGTAAGTACCTCCAGCTCAGATCCTAAACTAGCTGCCTGCCTATCCTATATCAGTAGGAAATCACAGATCTTTCTCTCCTGGTCTTGTTCCATAGGATGCAGACAACAAAGTAGAGAGAATATGGGGTGACTGTACAGTCAGGAAGAAGTACTCTCATGTGGACCTTGTGGTGATGGTAGATGGCTTTGAAGGCGAGAAGGGGGCCGTGGTGGCTGGGAGTCGAGGGTACTTCCTGAAGGTAAGAGTTGGGAACCAGTGGGGAGAGGATTATAAAAAAGGAACTTGAAAACAAATTGCAGAAAACAGAACCTACTAGGGAAACCCATAAATCCACCACTTGTACTCGCCTTTCTGCAAACATATTGGCAATTAGATGCAATTCTCTCTCTAAGGCAAGAGAGTGCTTATCCGGATTCCATAGACAAAAGCCGCTAAGTGATCCTCCATAATGAATATGTTTTGCTGACTCAGTCAGAACACTGCCTGCCTTTAGGGAGCTCGCTATAATTGGACAGTCAGACAAGTAACAAAGACTCAACCCGTCTGTCCTAAGCCCTGTGGTATGAGCAGGCTGAGTGCCTTTTTTTTTTTTTCTTCTTTTTTTTTCAATTTGAAAGGCAGAAAGACAGAGACAGACAGACAGATCTCCCACTAGCTGGTTCACTCATCAAATGCCTGCAACATCTGGGACTGGGTCAGGCCAAAGCCAGGAGCCAGAAACTCAATCCAGGTTTCCCATGTTGGCAGGGACCCAACTACTTGAGCCATCATTTGCTGCCTCTGAGAAAGCTGGAATCGGGAGCAGAGCCAGGACTCGAACCCAGGCACTCTGATATGGCGTGTAGACTCCCCAAGAGACATCTTAATTGTTGTGCCAAAATGGGTCCCAGGCCCAGAGTGTTTTGAGAATGGGTAGGCGGGGACAACAAACCCAGATTAAGTGCAGCAAAGGGTAGGTAAATTCAAGGCAGGCTTTCAGAAGGCTATGGTAAATAATCTTGGAAATACTATACATACGTGTATATAAGTATGCTCTACATATGCAAGTGTATCCAGGTTTTTTTTTTTAAGATTTATTTATTTGTTTGAAAGGAAGATTTACAGAGAGAAGGAGAGACAGAGATGTCTTCTATCTCCTCCTGGTTTACTCCCCAAATGGCTACAACAGCCAGTGCTGGGCCAGGCCGGAGCCAGGAGCCAGGAGCCAGGAGCTTCCTCTGGATCCCCCGACGTGGGTGCAAGGACCCAAGCACTTTCCCAAGCACAGCAGCAGGGAGCTGAATCAGAAGAGGAGCAGGGGCCGGCGCTGTGGTGCAGCGGGTTAACGCCCTGGCCTGAAGCGCCGGCATCCCATATGGGCACTGGTTTGAGACCTGGCTGACCCACTGCTATAGCCTGGGAAAGCAGTGGAAGACAACCCAAGTCCTTGGGCCCCTGAACCCGCATGGGAGACCCAGAAGAAGCTGCTGGCTCCTGGCTTCAGATGGGCCAGCTCTAGCCGTTGCAGCTAACTGGGGAGTGAACCAGCACATGGAAGATCTCTCTCTCTCTCTCTCTCTCTCTCTGCCTCTCCTCTCTCTGTGTAACTCTTTCAAATAAATAAATAAATCTTTTAAAAAAAGAAGTGGAACAGCTAGGACTTGAACCGGTGCCCATATGGAATGCCAGCAACTCAACCCTCTATGCCACAACACAGCCCCTATTTGCTTGTTTTTAAAGATTTGTTTATTTGAAAGGCAGAGTGATGTAGAGAAAGAGAGAGAGATCTCCTAACTGCTGCTTCACTCTCCAGATAGCCACAGTAGGCAAGGCAGGCTGGCCAAGAAGCCTGGAACTATGTGTTGATCTCCCATGTGGGTGGCAGGAACTTGAGCCATCATCTTCTGCTTTTCCAGGTGTCTTAGCAGGGAGCTAGGTCAGAAACAGAGTAATTGGGGCTCAAATCAGTGCTCCAGATTGAGGCATCCCAAGCGGAGTTTAACCCGCTGTGTCACAATACATGCCTGAGTCCAGTGTTTTAGGAATTAGCTCCGTGTAATGGGTACAGCTGCCACCTGCAGTGCTGGCATCCCATACGGGTGCCGTTCAAATTCTGGCTGCTGCACTTCTGATCTAGCTCTCTGCTATGGCCTGGGAAAGCAGTAGAAGGTGGCCCAAGTGCTTGGGCCCCTGCACCCCCGTGGGAGACCTGGAAGGAAGAAGCTCTTGGCTCCTAGCTTCAGGTTGGACCAGCTCTTGCCATTGTAGCCATTTGGGGAGTGAACCAGCAGATAGAAGACCTCTCCATCTCTCTGTTTCCCTCTCTCTGCCTCTGCCTCTCTGTAACTCTGGTTTCAAATAAATAAATAAATCTTAAAAAAAAAAGAATTAGCTCAAGAAAACTCTTCTGTGCACCCTGGCAAATAATCCTTTTCCCTTACTTTAGTATCTTTAGTATCTTAAAGAGAATCCTCTTACCAGTATACCTGGGGGGCAGCTGGTTGAGCTGCTGCCTGCAATGCCAGCATCCAGTGAGTGCTGGTTAGAGTCTCAGCTGCTCTGCTTTTGATCCAGCTTCCTGCTAATGCACCTGAGAAAGCAGCGGAGGATGGTCTGAGTACTTGGGCCTGCCACCCACATTGGAGACCCAGATGGAATTCCTGACTCCTGGCTTCAGCCTGGCCCATCCCTGGCCGTTGGCTGCCATTTGGGGAGTGAACCAGCAGATAGAACATCTCTCTCTCCCTCCCTCCCTCTCTCCCCCCTCCCCCATAACTCTGCCTTTCCAATAAATAAATAAATCTTAAAATAAAAAAGTGTGCCTGGATAACATGCTGGGCTTGGTGTTAGGAAAGGCTCTCTTGAGTCACTTGTGTTGGTCCCCGGTCTTTGTGGCTCCTGGGCACTCTTATTCTATTGCCTCAGTTGCTCCGAATGTCATTTTTAGCACATGAATGTGATGGCAACAGGACCCAATAACAACCCTGTTTCTTCTTCTTCAGGGGGTCCTGGTGTTCCTGGAACAGGCACTGATCCAGTATGCCCTTCGCACCTTGAGAAACCGGGGGTACACTCCCATTTATACCCCCTTTTTCATGAGGAAGGAGGTCATGCAGGAGGTGGCCCAGCTCAGCCAGTTTGATGAGGAACTTTATAAGGTGAGTAGCCTGCATCAGTGGGGCGGAGTGACTCATTCTGACATCTGATTCAGGGATACACGACAGTGCTGTCATTGGAACTTTTTTGCCTGATGGAAGTATTCTTCCATCTGTGACTGCTGAGCACTTGAAATGTGGTTCATGCAACTGAGGGAGCAGATTGTTTATTTTAATTAATTTGAATTTAAACAGTCACATGTGGTTGGTGCCATTGTACTGGATAGTAAAGACACAGAACCTGTTTTATCTTCCCCTGGGCAATCTGCATGATGTATCTATTTAAAGCATACTCTTAACACCATGAGCTTAGAGAAGAAGGCCATTTTCGGGGTACTTAGACAAAAGGAACTGATGGAAGTAGCACAGACCTCATAGCCCCCTTCCCGTGTCCTCTCACTCCTGACCCAGGTCTGGAAGCCACCTTAAGGCAAGACTTACTGGGATAGATGTGGCTCCCAAGGCTCAGTCACGAGTCATCTCTGGGAGAGCCAGGATTCGGGTGCGCCACAGAATGTCAGTGTGGTCGGCTGGCTCCAGCACCAGCTGTAGCACCTGTCTGGGTCTGGCACTTGGAATTTCTAGAGCGTCTCTGCTGACAGCTGTCTGTCTGCTTCAGGACTTCTGTCAGAAGAGGAGACTGGTGCCTACGGGCCTGTTTACTCCCCAGACAACAGCTGTTGATTTATCTTACGTAGGAAGGGAGGGTTACTCATTAGAGCCATCTTTCCCCTGTCCTGTTGATGATGTCAGAGTTCTGTTTCCAGTCAGAAGGCCCCTGGAAACAAACTGCTGCTCTGGACCTGAGCAGTGGTGCAGCCTGGGCATCCCCTCTGTCTCCTTCCTTGAAGGAGGGGAGGGACGTGTCCATGTATCAGCTGAAACCCCTTTCACCTTGTCTCTGACCTCATCCCCCAGGGCTGCGTAATTATTAACTGAACTTTAGACGTGGCCACTGCAGGTGGGAGCTGATGTGGAAGATGACAGGAAACAGTAGTGAGCAGGTGCTCCTTCCATCTCTTCTCCAGATGCTTCTTGGGCCCAAAGGTCTCAGCAGGGAGAAATTTTGGCTGACACTCTTGACTGATAGAAGCCCCAGTTTATTCATTCTTTGGAGTGGCACTGGCCAGTAGAACTTCCTGCAGTGAAGCGCATGTTCTGTATCTGCACAATCCAGTATGGCACCCATCAGCCACTTGTGACTACTGAGCACTCAAAATGTGGCGTGAGCAACTAGTAACTGGTTTACTGTTTGTGCATGAATGGCCTCATCAGGGCCCAAATTCCCGCTGTCAGGTGGTAGCAACGTTGTTTTCCAGGGCCCCAAACGCTAACCAGTGGAAATTTCCTCCCCCTACTTTAAAAAAAAATTTTTTTTGTTTTTTACTAAATAGCACTTCACAAAAAAATTGGAGATGATAGGATTATAACCATTGGACTAACCTATGTCCACCAAGAAAGCAGAGACTGTGTCTCTTGGACTCCCTGACACTTGTTGATTAATCTATTTATATTGCTTAGCAGTACAGGTTTATTGCACAGCTGTTGGCATTGGCCATTATCCATCATGTATAAGTGTTTTGTTTATTAGATAAATGAAAAATGCTGTCTCTTATTAATTTGCATTTCTTTGATCTCTATCAAGGACCCCATTTCGGACTGGCCTGTCCCTTCTGTTGTCACCTCCCAGGCAGAGATTAGAGAAACTTCTTCCTACCCCATCATTCCTGCCTTTCTTGTGGTTTCGTGTTCCAGCTAGGGTTACCCTTCCTCCCTCTTAACTCGAATGGCTCCCTTCTCCGACACAGGTGATTGGCAAAGGCAGTGAAAAGTCTGATGACAACTCCTATGACGAGAAATACCTGATCGCCACCTCGGAGCAGCCCATTGCTGCTCTCCACCGGGACGAGTGGCTGCGGCCCGAGGATCTGCCCATCAAGTATGCTGGCCTGTCTACTTGCTTCCGCCAGGAGGTGGGCTCCCATGGCCGTGACACCCGTGGCATCTTTCGAGTGCATCAGTTTGAGAAGGTGAGGAGGAGCCTTCTGGCTCCAGCCTTTCCTTTTGTTGCCTGGATGTTGTTTGTGGGAAGGGCCCGGGAAGTGCATGGTCAAGTGTCTTCCTTCGAGTGTGGGTGTTAGGGCCATGCTGCCTGGATCCAAATGCCAACTCCACCACTTAGCCACTGCATAACCTTGGATAGGTTGCTAACCGTCCCTGTGCCCAGTTTCTGCCTCATAAAAGGGTGATAATATTGATAAATAGTATTTACCTTGCTAGTCCTGCTGTGAGAGTTAAACTAATAATATAGATGAAGCTCTCAGAACGGGAGCTGCCATTCAGATGGTGCACTCTCCGTATAAGCTTTCATTCTTACTGTCGCAGGACCGGTCGAGCTGAGCAATAGCATGTCTTGCTGGGAGCCCAGTCCTGCTGTCGGCCAGTGGTGCAGGAACAGAGCTGCCCTTTGCTTTGCTCCTTGAGTTTCTTCACCCTGATGTCTCCTTGGGTCCCTCTGCAGATTGAGCAGTTTGTATACTCGTCACCTCATGACAACAAGTCGTGGGAGATGTTCGAAGAGATGATTGCCACCGCCGAGGAGTTCTACCAGTCTCTGGGGATTCCTTACCACATCGTGAACATTGTCTCAGGTACAGGCCCTGTCATCTTTGCAGCCTCCCTTTCGAGCATCCCACAAACACCACCCTGGAGAGCTGAGCTGCCACACCAAAAAATCGCTCACAATCCAACTCGTTACCCGTGTTAATTAAAACATCACACTCTTCTCACTTGGGAGAGTGTGGTGATGAGAAAACCTGGGTGCAATTTCGCCGCCAGGATAGGATGTGAATTAAAGAGTTCCTTGGGCTTGCTAAGGTTGGCTTTCTGAAACACCATCCCTCCTTCCTGAATTCTGGGGCGTTTTCTTTACAGGTTCTTTGAATCATGCTGCCAGTAAGAAGCTCGACCTGGAGGCCTGGTTTCCAGGCTCTGGAGCCTTCCGTGAGTTAGTCTCCTGTTCTAATTGCACGGATTACCAGGCTCGCAGGCTCCGAATCCGATACGGGCAAACCAAGAAGATGATGGACAAGGTAGACAGCCCCCAGGGAGGTGGGAGACAGGGGCTTCACTACAGAGTGCTCCAGCTGATTTCTCTGCCCTGGGGAGTACAAACAGTTTCCCAGCATCTGGGAAAATCTGAGCTGCTCCTTCTAGACCAAAAAGGGAATCTGAACATGACTTCTCCCGGGTCTCTGCTGAGTTCCTTTAGACCAAATCCTGACTCTAGCTCTATTCTATAAGGTAATGCTAGCTTTTCTCTTTTTGGCTTTCTTTTCCTTAACTCCAGAGAAAGAATAATCTCCCTTTATCTGCACAGAACAAGTTGGAGGCAACGTCTTCCCTCTTCTCACCCAAGAAGGTCTGGGTTGTAAGCTTATCTCTTGAAACCCAATTTTCAGGCCCTAATCTTTCCACAGTGAGGGGCTTGAAAGGGGTTAAAAGGAGAGGCCAGCGTTAGTTTCTTCTTCCCTCCAAGGACCCAACTCTCCTCACAATATTGGGATCTTCCACTTGTCACTCAATAAGATGTGAGGCATCTTCCTGGAGTAAAAAAGGCAATAAATACCAAACAGTTCGCATTGAGAAAAAAGTTAACGATGCGCTGAACTCATCATTTTGGTTTGAATAGTTGTAGTTGGGGGAGTTCTGATTGAGTGGATGGTTTCTGGTCATCAGTAAGACCACTGAGGTGGAGTTTAACTTTCTCTCTGGGGACCCTCCTTTCCCAGGTGGAGTTTGTGCACATGCTCAATGCTACAATGTGCGCCACGACTCGCACCATCTGCGCCATCCTGGAGAACTACCAGACAGAGAAGGGCATCATTGTGCCCGAGAAGTTGAAAGAGTTCATGCCGCCAGGTAAACTCCCAGCTCAGCTCATCTTCCTCCCTGGCTCTGTCTCCACACCTTCTGAAGAGCACTATTCCAGACTTGCTTGTTCAGACCCAGACCCCAGAACTCTGCCTCCCCTCTGGCCTGGGCAGTGTGGGAGGCCAGGTTGAAAAGGTAGCTAGTGCAGCTGTGATGTTGAAATGCTGCTGAAATTCAAACTGGGAAGGAAAAGAAAAAAGTGGGTGCAGTGTGTATTCGGGTAATCTTGTGTTCAAATGGATGCTCGTCCTATTGAGTTCTCCCCCGGGGTCTTTGGGCTTTGACGTGGAGAAAAACAGTTCATTTGGATGACTCTTCCTTCCCAGGACTCCAAGAATTGATTCCCTTTGTGAAGCCTGCACCCATTGACCAGGAGCCATCAAAAAAGCAGAAGAAGCAACACGAGGGCAGCAAGAAGAAGGCGGCAGCAAGAGATGTCACCCTAGAAAACCGGCTGCAGAACATGGAGGTCACCGATGCCTGAACATTCCTTGCTCCCAGTTTGCCGGGCTTCCTGTCTGCTGGGGTCTCAGAGCCCGCCCAGGAGCCAGGAGGCCAGGCACCCGTTCATCACCCTGCCCCTTCTGACTGCCGTGTACAGCACACGTGTTCCTGTGTCTCCGCGTGGACATGGGAGCCCATCACGGATGACTGATGAAACCATGTAATAAAGCATCTCTGGGGAGGGCACAGGGCTCTTCCTCAGTCTTCTTCCTGGGGCCTGACCCCTGTCTCTGGCAGTTCTCCCTGGGTCTGACTCACTTCTGCTTTTTCTTCCAAATAAGGCTGCTCCCTTTAGCAAGTCCAAGAGTTTCTGAGCAGGTAGGTGAAGGCGGGAGGCAGGGTAGGGAGGGGTGGATTTAGTAAAAGATTCAAGGGGACAGTAAGAGCCTGGAGTCAAAGAAACAAGTTTGCAGGACAGGGCCAGAATCCTTTTTTGTTATTTTGCTGTTGCTTAAAAGCAGTGAGGTAAGGACTGGCTTAGCTCTCAGAACTGACGTCAAAGCTTCCCAGCACTTGAGCTCCCTGGGAAGGGGGCGGGGCTGTAAGGGGTCAGGGTGGGTGAGGCCGTATCTAATCCAGCAGAGCCCCAACTTCAAGAGCTTGGGCTGGGCACTTGGTGGCAATGGCTGCTTCTCTCTTTACAACCCTCTACACGTGGGGAGATCACTGCTTGGCCACCTGTTGCTACAACTCCAAAGCATCATGATGGCCTGCAGGCAGAGGGCAGGGGGAAGAATGTTCCAGTCCCTTCCCTAGAGTTGCCACTGCTGTCCTAATAGCCAGTTCACCCTTTCTCTGGGAGGGTGGTATTTAGGCTCACTATTTACCGGCTGCCTTTCATCTGCAATCTACAAGCCCTTGGCCTTAATAACACCTTGTGTTAGCTTGGTGCTGCTCTCCTAGGAGGTTAATGTAATTCCTATAGATGATGGCTTTAATCTTTGTGACGGGCCCAGAAGGGAAGGTAGGGCCATGATTATATCTGTCCCATTGTGTGGAGGACAGAAGTGCCAGTGAGGGGGAGATGAGACAAGATGGCCAGGTGGGAATCACCTGTCCTGAGTCCTCAGCGATACTTAGGTCTGATGCATTTCTTTAGGAGTTGAGAGCTGGCGTCTGATCTGACCAGCACTTAGGTGCCTACTTCTCAGCTTCCTTAGTCTCTGAGTAGTGGCTTTCCTGGGCCTGCTGGAGCTTGGTACCCAGGAAAGAGGCCATATGCTGTTTTCCACTAATGCTTGGGACTAATATTTGTAACCCTGCTACTGGAAATCCTGTCCACAGTGGGATGCCTGAAAGGGTGACCACCGTGGCCCCCATGCCTTGCCCAGGTGTGCCTCCTGGGGGCTCACTGGCAGGCTCCAGCTGCGTTTACTGTAGGCCTCTGCAGGCTGCTCCCATTGGTAATTCAGGACCAGAAATTCGCATCCCTGGAGCCTCATCCATTGAAGAAAAGCAGCTGGTACAGTGAGGGGGAAGCCCGCTTTGTCCCCGCCTCCCCCTCCCTGAAGCCCACCGGAACTTTCAGATGGCCTCGCACCCATCTCAGTCAGCTCTAGCTAGGAGGTGCCAACAGCAGGGCCCTTACCCTCTCTGGCTGCTGGCCCCTGTGGCCTTCCTACCAGCAGGAGCCTCGGCCTTTCTCCGGGGCTCTGGAGAGGCAGGGAGAAGCTGAGGCCTAAGCCCCTGGGAACTAGGCCTGGCTCTTGGCTCCTCTGAACCAGCTGACTCCCTTTGTCACCCGACTAGTTTTCAGATTCCCTGCTGCTTTATGCGGAACCTCTGGTCCATTAGCAGAAACTGCCCCTGCGGCCTGAAGCTGCAGAGGGAAGCCCTCAGCAGCAGTGGCGGCTGGGATGAGGGGCTGAGGCCCCTCCTGGCAGGTCACACAGGAACGCGAGCAGGTAGGCGTGCACAGTTTGCTAAGTGCTCACCTGTGCCAGGCACCACTGGGAGCAGAGGTTACAGAAAGAAAGGGGCACAGTTCTTTGCTCTCAAAGAACTCTCAGTCTCCAGGAAGGTGTGGCTCGCCCTCCTCTGGGGTGAAGTGGAAACCAGGCTGCTCTCTGGAGCAGTGGGATGGGGCTGATGCCAGCCTTGCCAAGGATGGACCGACGCCGAGAAGCTCAGCAGCTGGGAACGGCCCAGATAACCCTGACTCCACCCTAGGAGCTGCCTCCAGCCCACGACAGATGCCCTCATCCCTGGCACCTTGACCTGCTCCATCTCCAACCTCAGCTCCCCGGGTTACCTTGGTTGGCAAACAGCCCCCACGGGCTGGGTGGCATGAGTCAGAGCCCTGGGTCACTCCCCAGCCCTTGGTTCCCACACCCAGGAATCCAGGGATCCAGATGCAGGTCTGGGTGCTTCAGGCAAGAGAGGAGACACAGGGACCCGGTGTCTGGCCTCTACCAGAACAAGAAGCCGGGCTTCCAGCACCAGGCCGCTGTGCAGGGACCACGCAGGTCAGCCAAACAGTCGCCAGGCCTGAAACCTCACCCCTGGGAACCTCGTTGTTTGGACCTGTCCTACTTGTCCTTCCCTGAAACTTTCCCGTTTTACCCTGGGTCCTGAGAAGACCTCCTTCCTCCCAACCCCCATGCCTCCCACGGGGCCCTGGAGCTGTCCTGGCTGCTCTCCCAGGATGAATCTGACAGGCAGCACTGGGATGGGCCCCAGAGAAATGTGCTGCATGTCCCAGCCTGTGCCAAGATGAGGGACCTGCCCCACTTCCCCAGTCACCTCCCCTCGCGGGGTTCCCCAACAGCTCCTCCCAGACACACACCAAAGGGGTGGTGCATCTCTGCAGTCCAGGCTGCGACAGGTCCTGGTGGGGCTGGCGCCTCTGCCTGTGACATTGCCCTTTTAAGAGCCCTCCCCACGGGAGGTGGGGTGCTGCAGGCAGGTTCCTGTTGCAGAAACCCAGCAATGTGCAGCTCCCCATCCACCTGCCTGGGAAGAGGACCAGGGCACCAGTTCTCCACCTCCAAGTGTTCAGACCTTAGGGACAGAGGTAGGGGGGGCCAGAGACCTCCAGGAAAGGCCCTTTCTCTGGAGGGGAGGACTCTAGCTGCCCACGTTTTGGAACGTGTCCCCCATCCTCCCCCCCATACAAATCTGCTGCCAGAAATGGTCCAGGAAATTATTTTCATGGAGGTGTAAATTGCTGAGAAGATGTGCAGGCTCTTCTGGGAGATGGGGTTGTGAAACCCCAAAGAAGTGAAGAATTAAGCTGCACTCAGAGCAGCATGCGTCTGCTCCTCCTTCCATCTTGGTTCAGAAAGAATTTTTTTTTTTTTTCTGTTTCGTCAAAGCCACTCCTGGTTGCCTTGTGCCCTGGATCTCACCTCCAATCCATGTCCCCCGGGTCCCTGTTCTTCAGCTACCTCTCCTGAACGTCCTCTCCAGTCCCTCCAGCCCCCACCACTTCCCCAGTACCCACCTGCTTACACTCCATCCCCAAACTGTCGCAAATCACCACCCCATCTGGCTGCACGCTCTCAAAGCTTAATCAACAGTGGACATGCCAGGCCCTGCCATCTCCGGTCCCCTACCTCCTCAGGGGAGGTGGAATGTTCCAGACAGAAGGCCTGAGTGGCTGGTGCAGAGGGAGGATGGTGCTGAATTGAGGCCAGAGAAGACGGCAGGGTGAGGAGACCGCAGTCGCTGACCCCCAAGGTTGCTCCCTGGGCCCAGCCTCCCCTTGCTCTTTCTCCACATGTGCTCCTAGCTGCACACGTCAGCATCCCACATCCGATCCCTCATCCTAGCATCTACAGCTACCAAGTTTAAAGTCTAACTCCTTATCTGATCCTCTAATCAAGCCCCCCAGCATTCAGGAACCCATAGGAGCCCTGAGCCCCAGGAGTCACCCTGGACAACTCCCTTCTCATGGTCCCCTGCAGCCAGTCTGCTGCACAGTGTCATCAAAGCCTATCACTCAGATCTGTCCCTTGACAGCCTGTTCTGCAAGCACCTTGCTGAGCTGCCAGACCCCAGCCCCTCATGCAGGCCCAGCCTCCTGAGGCTGCCAGAATGGCTTGCCGGTGGGACAGGTGCAATCCTTCTTCCCCGCCAAATACCTGAGGTGCTTTCCCCAGCTCAGAAAGCCCAACCTTCTCAGCCAGGGTCCAGGTTCACCAACAGGTGGCCCCAGTTCAGAGAACAAGCCTCTGCTCTCCTGGTCCCCACTTTGTGTTCTGTGCCCAGCCCCCTGATTCTGCCGTCTGCCAGCACTCACCATACATGGCACCTGTATTGGCTCATGCTCCTGCCTCCTTTCCTCTTGCCTATCCCCTCCTTCTCCAAGGTGGCTCAAATGCCACCTCCTTTACTTTTTTTTTTTTTTTTTTTTTTTGACAGGCAGAGTGGACAGTGAGAGAGACAGATCTTCCTTTTCCGTTGGTTCACCCTCCAATGGCCGCTGCAGCCGGTGCACTGCGGCCAGTGCACCGCGCTGATCCGAAGGCAGGAGCCAGGTGTTTCTCCTGGTCTCCCATGCGGGTACAGGGCCCAAGGACTTGGGCCATCCTCCACTGCCTTCCCGGGCCACAGCAGAGAGCTGGCCTGGAAGAGGAGCAACAGGGACAGAATCCGGCGCCCCAACTGGGACTAGAACCCGATGTGCTGGCGCCGCAGGCGGAGGATTAGCCTATTGAGCCGCAGCGCCCCGGCCTCCTTTACATTTATTTATTTTCATTTGAAAGGCAAAGAGGGAGAAGAAGAGGAAGAGGGAGAGAGAAAGAGAGAGAGCTTCCATCTATTGGTTCTCTTCCCAAATGCTGGGGCTGGTCCAGCCTGAAGATACCCCAAATACCTTCCCCTTTAAAAGCCTCCCCTGGGGTGGGTGTTTGGCATAGCAGTTAAGACGCCACTTGGGATGCCTGAATCCCATATTGGAGTGCCCGGGATCAAGTTCTTCACTGATCCGGCTAATGCATCTGGGATAGCAGATAATAGCCCAAATACTTGGATTCCTGCCATGCACTTGACAGACCTGAATGGAGTCCCTGGCTCCTGGCTTTAGCCCTGCCCAGCCTTGGTTGTTGTGCGCATTTGGGGGAGTGAAACAATGGATAGAAAGTTTCTGTCTGTCTGTCTCTGTGTCTTTATCTCTCTGCCTTTCAAATAAAGTGGAAATAAATAAAATTTTAAAACCTTTCTCTAAAAAAAACCCCAACCATACA